CCAGGCCACCCTAAATTCTTTTAAGACCGGCTGCTGCAGGGCCGGTCCTAATGCTGCAGCCGCCTGAGCGCTCTGTTGATAGGAAGGTGACTTCCTGTCAGTCCGGCCGGGTACAGGAAACTGAAACTCCGCGCGGAACAGGAGTTTCTGTTTCCTGTATCCAGCCGGACTGACAGGAAGTGCACACTGAGTGTGCACCTTCCTATCACTCCGGCCGAGCACCGTGGACCAGAGAGGAGCTCAGCCACGCTACAGGGGAGGGGAGAGGAAGTGAGGAGGGGGGAGATTAACTGAAGGAGGGGGGAGTAACTGAAGGGGGGAGTAAAGGAGGAGGGGGGAGTAACTGAGGGGGAGTGACATAAGGAGAGTGGCAGAAGGGGAGTGACAGAAGAAGGGGAGTAACAGAAAGGGGGGAGTAACAGAAGGAGGGCAGTAACAGAAGGGGAGTGACAGGAGAAGGGGGTAAAAGTAGGAGGGGGGCAGAAGGAAGGGGAGAGCAGAAGGAGGAGGGTAACAGAAGGAGGGGGGAGTAACAGAAGGAGGGGGAAGTAAGAAGAAGAACGGGGTATGAAAAACAGGGGGTAAGAAGAACACAAGGAGGAGGGGGGGAGAGTAAGGCTGAGGAGAAGGGGAGATGAGGAGAAGGGGGGACTGAAAAGAACCCAGGGAGGGTGGGTGGTGATGAGGACACAGGGAGGAGAAGGGGTAAGAAGAACACAGGGAGGGGGTGAGGAGAAGGGGAGATGAGGAGGACACAGGGAGGAGAGGGGGTAAGACAAACACAGGGAGGAGAGGGGGTAAGAAGAACACAGGGAGGGAGGAGGTGAGGAGAACACGGGGGAGGTGAGGAGAACACAGGGAGGGGGGAGATGAGAAGAACACAGGGAGGGGTGAGGTGAGGAGAACACTGGGAGGGGGAGGTGAGGAGAACACAGGGAGAGGTATGGTGAGAAGAACAAAGGGAGTGGGGAGGTGAGAAGAACACATGGAGGGGGAGGTGAGAAGAACACATGGAGGGTGGAGGGGGGATGAGCACAGGGAGGGTGGGTGAGTTTGAGAAGAGACCGCTAGGGGAGGGTGGGGGAGAGGAGAGACCACTAAGGGGCAGGGGAGGGCTCTAAGGGACAGCTCTATAGGACAGGGGGCAAGACAGGAAGCTCTTTCACACTACACGCACACACACATACACACACACACACACAGTGCATCCCTATACATACACAGAAACACACAATGCATCCCTACACACACACAGAAACACACAATGCATCCCTACACACACAGAAACACAACATGCTTCCCTTACACACAGAGAAACACACATCCATACACACACACAATGCAACCCTTGCACACAAAGACAATGCATCCTTTGCACACATACACAGAAACACGCAATGCAAACCCTTACACACACATGCAAACACACACACTGCTTTTCTTACATACACACAGAAACACAATGCATCTCTTACACACACTCAATGCACAGACATACAGACACACACCTTGCATCCCTTATGCATACAAACACAGATTCACGCAATGCAGACCAGAAACACACAATACATCCCTTATACACAAATACACACTGCTTCCACTACACACAAACACACTGCATCACCTACAAAAACTGGTATCCTTATACACTACATACCATAAGCACACATATTAGATCCTCTACAATAACACCTACACACTCCACTCCCTGTGAGCGAACTCATGGGTGGGTGGAACATATAAGTGGGCATACTTACCGTCAGGCCCTGGGGCCCAGACCTTGAGCTGTGTAAGGGGCCCCCAAAAAATGGAGCTGCTTCCAATTCTCCCAGAACATTGAATTTTGTGACCACAGTTGCAAACAGCCGCCAGAGATCCTGTTCTGCACCAGACCAGTGGAGCCAAACTGCAGCCCATCATAATCCTCATCTGGTTGTAAGTAGTCAATCTAGCATATTATTAGTGACACTAATCTATAATTTACCTCACATTAAAGGGACACTATAGTCCCCAGAACCACTTCAGCTTAATGAAGTGGTTCTGGTGTCTGTAGCCGGTCCCTGCAGGCTTTTTAATGTAAACACACACTGTGTGCAGGACTGGCATTAGTTCGGATGGCAGATCATAAGGGTGGGGCATTGTGATGTCACATGGGGGTGGCAAATACAGCTGTTCCCCATGCAGCCACAGGTGCCGCTGTGCTGGGAGATTGTGATTACTCTTCACTTCCTCCCAGCCTACAGAGCAGCGCATGTGAGAGAGAGGGGAGGAGGCATGATTTAATCTTACAACAAATCCACTAAGCAAATCTTTATAAATTTGGGGGGATCAGCTCTGTTTCCACAGTTTATTGGTGTTTACTCTGATGTCTGTATTAATATTGAGGGATTTCTAAGTAGTAACATCAGTGTGTGTCAGCAGGGCCAGCCGTTGGGGTGTGCAAGCTGTGCGGTCACGCAGGGTGCCATGACAACAGAGGTGCCCGGCTGCCAACACACATCACAAGTTGGGGACACCAGCATATTCAATTTAAACGATTCGCTGGTGGTCCACTGGTGTGCACCAGCAGTAGGTGCAGTCAGATTATATCCTCTCCATCGTGGTTCCGGCGCTCAGTTAGTGAGTCAGAGCACAGGCTCAGAGATTCTCAGCCTGCGCTCTGACAACATTGAAAGTCAGAGCTGTGAAGGAGCGGGTATGGCAAAGAGCTACTGATTAGTATAACATCAATATCCTTTATAAAACCAGGAAAAGGTGGGCATGGATGGTAAACTGATTTGGTGATTTGGGGCCACTTGACTGGTTTTGTCCCCGAGGCCTAAGGCTGTCAGCCCTCCCCTGGAATTAGCAGTAGAAAGAGGGAAGTGCTCATGCCATTTTACAGAACACTGGTGAGACCTCACTTGGAGTATTGTACGCAGTACTGGAGACCGTATCTTCAGAAGGATATTAATAGTTTAGAGTGAGTTCAGAAAAGGGCTACTAAACTGGTTCATGGATTCCAGGGTGAAACTTACCAGAAAAGACTAAAGGATATTAACCTGTTTCGCTTGGAGGAAAGATTAGAAAGGGGGGATATGATAAAAACACTTATATACATACAGGTAATAAACACAGTAAATGAGGAGAGTATATTTAAAAAAATAAATAAAAAAATACCACAACAAGAGGACATAAAAGGTTTACAAACTAATTAAAGTATTTAGAAAATTGGGCAGACTAGATGGGCCAAATGGTTCTTATCTGCCATCACATTCTGTGTCCCAACACCCTTTACCTTGCAATGGTAATTTTACCACGTGACAGGAGGCTTCATATTTTGCATAACTCTCTTTACTGAAAACTCCAGCAGCACAGGTCATAAACAGAACAACCAATCAAAAAACTACACATTCCACAAAAGGCCTTGCCAGTCTAAGCTCCTTTCTTTGGTGCTCCTGCTTGCACAGATCAGAGTATTTTGTCCTTGTGACTTCTTTCTGTATTTAACTTATTTTTATATTGTAATGTCACCGTTTAATTGCATTATCTGCTTTATATTTCTGTTTATTTATACCCCCACTACTGTCTTACTTTCCTATATATCACTTTTCATACTTTATTTCTGCTCTAACCACTGCAGCCTAGGACTTTTCCCATCTCAGGCTGGAGCCTGGGACTTTCCTGGCTCTTTCTTCCCTCTGACTGCCGTCTCCTTTCTGCCCGTTTATGTATACCTTTTAGGGCTTTCTGAGCGGATCTGTGGGTGGTTTTCCTTCAAGATCAGTATTCAAGCAATCTGGCCACAGGAGATGCTGCAGTATTGCTTTGGCTTAAACGAGCTGTCCTGCAATATCCTCATATTATGAGTATCTGGGGTTCTAATACCCTCCAGGCTTATCTAGTTTAAATGCTGTTTTTTGTGCCCATTCTACATTTGTACAGGTACCTCAGGCTCAGTATGTCACTTGATATTTTCTGCCACAAAGAGGAATATTACACCAATGATAAGTTGCCTATATAATTATAATACATGTCTGAATTATGCCTAAAGAAGACAATGCTTATTGTATAAAGACATATTGTGCCAAATGTTTCTATTGCCTCTGTTACACAAGACACACCACCACCTGGGGTGAGCCCCAAGATACTATATGATGAGATGTGCTTAAGCAGACCCTGCAGGATTGACCCCGTCTTTTTGTCATGGTACATTAACTATCAAACACATCTAATAATTCACTGAAGACAATTGAATTCATACATATTGTGTCATGTGTTACTTTTTTTTTTATATTCTTTATTTTTGAGTGCATTGTAAAGATAGAGCTTGTCAGAGACATGTCAAAACATCACATTGGAAAATATCAGTTTGCAAATCGTATGCATGTCTGAGTTACAGCACATTTTTAGAATTATAGTAGTAGGTAACAGTAAGCATGGTGTATAAAGATATGAAAGCATAACATTGATAAGGATACGTTCCATGCTAGCTTGGAGATTTTTTGTTCAAAGTTATAATATGCTTAGGTTACAGGTTATACATCGCATTTCTGGACTAAGTGTTAAGGTAAGTATAGCATGAGTAGTAAGTGCATGCTAAGTAAAACATATACGCTTGTGGCGCCTCCACAGCAGGGCAGGCGAGGAAGAAACACAATGGAAAACAATGCTATGGCATGCTATGTAGATGCTTCAATTTTGCAATTAAGGTGTTTCAGTAGGCAAGATGAGTGTATGAAAATAGATATAGTGCAAGTGTAATAAGCATGACTATGTAGTTGTTGCTTGTTATAAGAGAGTGAGAGGAGAGCGAGGCAGGTATGTCACAGAAAAGAAAACATGTTAATAGCTGGAGTCTGCTCATTTACACAGGATCTGCATTAACTAGGTTCTGCTTTAAATGGACAGTCCAGACAGCAATGGTGAATCTAGTCCGAGGTATGTTTAGCGGTATGACATATGAAGCCATATACTGAGCAATATGGAGCTCACGGTTTTTAGAGTCCAGTCCGGGTTGTTCATCCCACGCCTGATGCTCGGAGGGTGGTGCTGGCGTGATGGATCTTGTGCGGGTCTTCGTCTATGTCTCCTTGCCAGGTCCTTCCCTTGGTGAGCCCCATTGCGCTGGGTGCTTCGCTGCGGCTCTGGGACGGTCTCTTTAGTGCGGTCATCTTATAGGGACTTCTGCCCTGCTGACCCACCGCTCGTTCCGGGCGAGGTTTGCCTTGTCTGATCTCATGCCGATTGTTTGCTGCTAAGGCTGGTTGTTTGGGTCGGTGCTTCCTGAGTACTTGTGCGGTTTCAGGTATTAGCCCCGGTCCACTGCTGCTTTTTGCGAGGCTCCGAGTGTTGGGCCTCCTGGCCGTTCTTTGCAGGCGACATTTGTTCGCGGGCATGTATCTGGAGTCGGGGGTCCGCACTCCCCGCATGTCAGCTCCTTGAGAGCCCTGTTGTAGGATGTCTTCAGGAGCTTGGGGTCTCATGCGTGCCTCTAACTTCTTCCAAAACGCGGCGAAAACTGCATTCAGTCTGAGTTCCGTGTCGAGCTCCGCATCTCCTGGGCCTGCAGTGTGAGGGACATCTGCCATCTTGCGGGCTGCAAAGGTGGCAGGCCCGTGCCTCCTTGTCTCTGTCTCTCTCCTCCCGCTCTGCCAGAGAGTTGCATAGGGGTGGACCGGATGACCCCCACCGGTCCATAGGGGGGGGAACGGGTGTTCTGGGGCACTTTTCTGGCCTGTCTTGGTGGAGGGAGGGCGGCCGTCCCTCCCGCTCCCACCATGCTGGTAGGCCTCATCCGTGTGGCCGGTACGTACTGGGGCATTTGTCACTCGTTTGATATCGCCGTATGCGTCCCGGTGTCGTCTGTCACCTGGTGGCCTTTGATTAGCCTAGTAGTGTAGTTTTTGTGGCTTTTTCCTCGCTTTTTTGCGCTGTTCGGCAGGAGCTGCAGAGGTTTGCTTCCTCTCAGTCAGGCCCTGCCCCCCAGTGTCATGTGTTACTTTTACCATAGTGGTTGTCTGTTTTACAAGACACAGCACCTGTGGTGAGCCCTCAGATACCAGATGATGTGCTCTCACCACTGAAAACCATTGAATTCAGACATATTGTGCCAAATGATACTGTTACCATAGTGGGTGTCCTCTGTTACACATGACACACCACCTGGGGTAAGCCCCCGGATACCATATAATGTGCTCTCACCACTGAAGAGCATTGGATTCAGACACATTGTGCCAAATGTTACTGTTACCACAGTTGGTTTCATCTGTTACATTGATTTTACACACTACTCTTAGGGTTTCCACCTGACTGGTATTTTACTGGCATAGCCAGTATTTGAGGCTGCCTTGCCGGTGTCGGTATTGCAGTCATACTGGCAATACAAATGCTGTGATTTTTCTCATTATAAACAGAGATTACGATGCAATACCAGCACTGGCCAGTAGGCTGTGTGTGGAGAGAGGCAGGAATAGGAAGTTCCAGCATATTCCACCCTGCAGAGACATCCTACAGCTCAGGGAAGTGAGGGATGGGGGAAAGGCTGCAAGAAGATATGGGGGTACTGGGAGATATGGGGACACTGATACACCATTGGGAGACATTATGACACAGACACTTGGGGACACTGGGAGATATGGGGACACCATGTCTCCGGTGTCCCCATGTCTCCTAGCCAGTGTCTCCAGTGCCTAAGTGTACCCATGTCTTCAGGTGTCCCTAGTTTCTCAGTGTCCCCATGTCTCCCAGTGTCCCTAGTGCCTGTGTCCCCATGTCTCCCAGTGCCCTAAGTGTCTCAATGTCCCAATGTCTCCCAGCCAGTTTCCCTAGTGTCTGTGTCCCTGGTGTCTCAGTGTCCCCAAGTCTCCCAGCCAGTGTCCCCTAGTCTGTTCTGTCCCCTCGTATATTCTGACGAGCGGGAGCTGTCTCCGTCCCTCACGCTCCCGACTGCAATCTCGTCTCTCGTGCGGCTTGCGGGTGGCGTGGGCGGAGGGGAGAGGGCGAGCCGTCCACATGGGAGTGGCAGGTCCCGGCCTCTTAGCTTTCTCCCTCCGGCTCCCTCGTGTAAGCCGGGGGACTGTTTTGCGTGATTAGCGTCACCCATTGGTTTTGTATAAGGCTGTATTATATATATATATATATATATATATATATATATATATATATATATAGGGTGATGGCATTCAACGGTTTATTTTTCTACATGGTGATGTAGTATCAGAAACACGAACTGATGTGTGATGCTCTGCATTCTTGGTACGTGAAGGGTTTGTTTTGGAATAATTGCCCTGGCTGCAAGGGAGATCCCCCCCTATAAATGGGTTATGTACCTTAGAGTTCTATTGGCTGCCTACATTATAATGGTGCTTTTATATATCTGGTCACCAGAGTACAGGGTAGATGGTTCCTGTTTATGCTAGGAATCTGTTATATGTCACAACCTCCACCTCTTCCTTGAGATCTATTACACGGTTTTATTGTATTCCTTATTATTCACAGCACTCTGTCTGGTATTATATGTGTGTATATAAACTATATAAATTACCACAGATACCTATGGCCTTTGATTAGGTTATATATCGGTTATTTTTTGGTATTTTAATTATTATTCTTTTGGTTTATTCACTAAACAGTGAGTTGGAATGTCCTCATACCTCTTCTGTATCCGGCCTGTTTTATCTTGTTTTTGGCCCTGGACGGCTACCACTTGGTGTTAGGGGTCTGTAATACTGGGTCCCTGCAATTTAGATATATTTTTTTTATATTGCTGGTTTTGATACATTGGTTGGTTTACCGCTTATGGGTGCTTGTTTCACTACAGGTGGGCCTGGTTTTTATCCTTACCATGTCGCTGCCCCTTAGTGGGAACACATGTCATTAAGCCCCATGCACCCCCCTTTTTTGTCAAGGGTACCTATAGGCGGAGGACTCCTTTAAAGGGTGCACAACCCACTACGGGTTAGACCTTCACTGGCCTGCCGGTCTGTGCCGCCAGTGGGTCCTGCAATTACTGTGGATTACATGACTCTTCATTTACAGCATGCCTACAGGTCTACCCTCAAGAATCGCTGCCTACACACCCTGGTTGTCCTGCTTTGACTGTGCCCTTGGATTGGCCTGCTTTATCTGTGTCATTATCTCTGGACGCCAAGCCTACCTACTACATGCTCTCGCTTGTTCCTGACATGCGCTGCCTGCCTTGCCTCTGCCACTGCTTTGGGGTAATGCCCCGTTTATTTTGATGGTGACACTCCTCATCTATACTCCTGGAGGTCGCGTTGCCTGTGGTTTTCCCTACGGAACCCTCTACCCAGGAACACTATTTTCAGGCAATGATTCATGCGGATGCGGACGCCTCCATGGGAAAGGCTTTGGGCTGGGTCTTCCCTCAAACTCTTCTAGGGTCGGGAGCTATAAGGGCCCCTCAGACGGCAGACGACTCAACTGAGTCAGACTCTCCTAGATGAGAGCAGGCAGGTGCGCAGAAGCACTACTGGAAGGGTGAAGGCCCTTAACCACGTTCCCAGTAGGGTAAGGCTCTGGCAAGGCATCTTGGTAGATTCGACACCTAGGTCTTCAGAATGGTCTCTACCCGAACGTCTTGCACGATTTGTGCGCTGCGAGGTCCACAGGCCGCTGGAGTGAGAAATCTGCAGGAATTTTCAGGCGGAATGCCCAGACAGGTGTTCCCGGACAAGGCAACCATGCCCCTGGAGTTTGGAACCTGGTCACCATGTACATGATGCGCACAGGACGGGACCCTAAGACAGGGGTCGAGCGCAACCTCTGTCTGGCGCAGGACAGACTGCCAGACATGCTGGGCCCTCTATCCAGGATGCTCATACTGGCAGCCGGAAAGTGTTCAGAGGATGCTCCCCTAGACCTGTTTTCCTTACGGGACTGAGCCCTGCGCTCCTTTGCCTGCTGGTTGAAGGCTTCACGGAACACACAAGGGCGCTCCCCCCTTTTTTTGCATGGATAACAGGTAGTAGGTTTAGGGTCAGAAGAATGATTCCACTGGCCAGGGTCTTCCCTTTGGGGAACCCGGTATAAAGGAACTTCAGAAGCAGTTGACTCTGTTCGCCTTGTTGAGCAAAACCCAGTTTTCCGTGAGGAGGATCTTTCACCATGAATCATCCTTCTTCCTTCCTACCTCTCTCGGTCCTTCTACTCACTGAGATCAGCCAGTGGTGGAGGAAGTAGAGCCATGCATGTCTAATCTTCAGACTGCTCGATGATTTGTCATGGATTCTTCATCCCCGTCGACTCGACACCCGCTGGCTCTAGTCTCCTTACGGGTGCTTCTTCCCCTCATAGACACTGAGATTCGAGCTCTGTTCGACTGGGCCAGGCCCAGTGGACTCCGGACACTCGATTTTGTGGTATGGAAAAGGCCTGGGAATATCCACCCAGTGTTCACCATAAGAATCTTAAATGCCGTCGTGGTATACCATCATTTCAGGATGGAGGACGCCCATCGCCTACAGGACCTCCGCTGGCCCCGAGATTGGTTCGCTGGACTGGATCTGTAGGATCCTTACCCCTCTATTCTGGTGGACAACAAGGACTGAAGGTGTCGCCATTGCCATAGTAGGACAGACCTTGCCAATTCACCTGTCATCCTATCGGCCTATGCGTGGTGGGTCTCCTCTCTGCATCTATCCGGGCGATTTACCTGGGCCCGCTCATCACAGGGTCCATGGTCGGTGTTGGAGTCGAAGTTCCCCATACGCTACCTAGAACTGCTTGCGGGATTGTTCACGATTCAGAATCTGCAAGTCATTTTCCCGATTACTGCATCCTCCTCCGGATGGGAGCTTCAACCGCCTGGGAGGAATCTGCTCCCGGATTCCCTCGAAGATTACGAAGGAGATCTACGGTTTCTACTTCCAATGTAACATTATCCTCCAGGCAGAATTATGTCGGGGAGTTGGACCTGACGACGGATTGGTTCTCCAGACGTTGGCGAGACGCCAGCGATTGAAGGACCTCTCGTCCTACCTTCCTCGAGATCACAGACCGGCGGAGGACCCTTTGGCCTCACGGATGAACTAATGGGTCCCAACCTTCTTTGGCGGGCTCAAGGATCAGGTTTGTTCAACGATGGACGCTCTCCTCCACGGGTGTTCGCCATGGAGAGCTGATGCGTTACCTCTGATTAGTGGCCTGGACTCTTTCAGGGAAGCCTGGAGTGTTGAGGTGTTGTTGCGATTGGCCTGGTCCCCTGGGACTTGGTGATGCCATTTGTTAGCATGGTGGTCCTGGTGTAGTGGTGCTCGGAACGGGATTCTGATACCTTTATGGGCCCTGCAACCAGCGTTCTGGACTTTCAGTCATACCTGTTTGACCCGGGACGCTCGTATCGTTGGACTTATGTAGTTAGGTCGGTGGTCCACGTACCGTTTAGAAGTCTTTTTAGCCATTGGTCAAGACCCGCTGGTTGGCAGAGGTCTCAGAGGTAGGTGATTGTCACAACCTCTGAGGCCTAGGTGTTGCTTTATCTAGAACGCATGTGCGGTTTGTCATTCATCCAGGATTGGTCTGATACTTAGGACCTCCCCTTTGTCAACGTTTTTTGCTCTCTTATTATGTCTTGTTTCTGGTGTCCAGGCCTTAGATGTCGACGCTTCTTCTTCCTCTTCGGAAAGGG